GTATTTCAGCTATTCACAGCCTGATAATAAAACCTTTCATCTAGAGAGGATTCAAATACTCAAGTGTGTGATTCAACAAAAGAAAGATTTTACTTTCCCGACCAGAAAATCCCGTACCTGATTTCGGTATCAAATTGAGCTTTCTTCTTTTCCGTTTCAACAATTTTTTTTTTTTTTTTTAGTGCTCATGAAAATCTTGTGAGCCGTAGCTCGTGCTGTGTATAGAAAAAGCACTCAAACTGTGACATTAATTTATTGGCAAATACAATCTTTTTCGTATGGACCAGCACATACTAAATGTGCTCAAAATGTTTATACTTATGTTTATTACTCATACTTGAATAAATATTTAAGCGTGTGTTATTTAATTATTTCGTACGCTCAGCACATAAGAACCCTTTTTGCGGTGGCCTCAAAGATCATGCAACGATCTTTCTAATGAGGTTTAACACCAATTTGAAGTTCGACTTTGCCTGATGTGTGTTTCAAGGGGTAATTTACGTCATGTATCGAGCTGTTTTCTTAATTTATTAACATCTATTTATTCAAGACCTATCCACATCGAGTTCTGTACGAGAGAACGAAACTACTCCCACCCCCATCCCCGTTTCACTTCCCAGTAATTTCCCAGGTATGATAACAATGAGAATGACCATTAGAGGGAACACTGATGTCTAAAAACGTTGCCTCTGAGAAAAACAACATGAGATAATAGGGTTATATCAAGTAGTAATTACACCCTGGATATTCAACAACCGCCAGATGAGTCCACCATCTTGGAATAAATTTATCGTAGCAGTTATAGTCACCATAAATGACTAAAACCCGAAAAAATGAATTAAATAAGGCTTGATAAAAGTCCTAAAAAATGAAATATAACGATTCAAAAATATATTTTGTTAAAAGAGCTTAGTCATGGTATTTTGAGTTATTTTGGCCACGTACAAAATCACCTTTAAGTTGAAGGGAATATGAAAATAAAAGTCACTATGATAGAGAAACACCAAAGAAAGAATAATAAACAATAAAGGAACAAGGATGGTTAAGGATGCTGAAGATTTAAAACACGGATTACAAACGGAAGGGATATACTTATTTAACTAGTTTTTATGTCCCAGCTGTAAAATATAACCACGCATAATTACAACATCTGGTTTTGAGCAACAAACTTGACTTCAACTCTCGTCCTCAAATCATAAAAAACTACTTTTTGCCGCAATCAGCCAAATAGTGAAACGTCATCCCACAAGATCATTCAAAGTTACAGATCACACCAATTTCATGTCATGTAAACATGATGAAATTAAATTTAAGTTGAAATTAAATGTTCAGACCTTGTAAGAAAACTGACCAAAATCTCATATTACCCTTTGTCCCAATTAAAACTCATAGCATATTTATGTATTTTTTTTT